CTTTTTTTTGTCATTCTGTAATTTTGTCTAACCTCTCCTTTGAGGAAGCAAAGATTTACTTATGAAGAGACTGGGGAGGAGAAGATAATCATTGTTACTCTACAGGAAGTGTTAATATTTTCATTTTGCATGTATTCTATTAGAAAATAGATTTGGTATGTAAATATTTGAATTTTTAGAAGTTATTCCAATTTTCTTACCTATTTCTTCTTGCAGCATATAGCTGGTATAACAGTCATGTTACAACGGTCGCTAGAAGGCCTCCTATTAGAAGGGCTTCAGACCTCCAACGTTGATATAATACAGCGCTGCTTACGGATCTATGCCACGATTGACAAGACCTGGGATGCTGAGGCCTTACTTGGTCAAGTGCTAGTGAAACGGTACGTGGATGAGGTGTGTGTGCCTTGGGCCTTCAGCAGCGGCCATGGAGCATCTGCTCTTGCAGTGTGGGGGTAGAGCAGCGCTCTTTCTGGGGAGATTCTTGTAGTTACTGCAGCATTAATTGTAAAAAGGGTTGGTCCCTGTTGGCCACAGTCAGCATACCAGGAATCCTGCATGCCCTGTAGTATATACTAGTGAGGCCATAGCCCAGAGATCATCTTAATTTAGGGGGGGGGTGAAGGTCTTGCCTAGGAAGAAGGTATGTACCAAACCACTTCTAGGTCAGGTTTATGGTATGTAAGTTAAATGTCAGTTAGGGTGGCAGATAGCGTCTTTGAACAACTGGCCTCATGGGTAGAAGAGAACAGTTAAGCAGATGACAGCACTGCAGTGAGCATGCCTGGTGGGGGAGCGTGCAGAGAGCTCTGTGAACATGGAAAGTCCGTGGGGAGGGAGCTCTTCCCAGAATAAATTGGGCCCAAGTCTTAGAAAATGTGGAGGAGTTTGCTGGGCAGGAAGGTGGGAGGGAAGGAATAAAAAGGTGAAGGACTTTTACAGGCTGCTAAATGAGCAGAGTAATACATTAAGTCCAGAACTCAGCTACCCAGTATCGTTCACCTGTTAGGATACAGCTAAAATATAGGAGTAAGTGTGTGTTGCCTTGGAGCAGCCAGATTATAGGCTGTGCTCTAGGAAGTTGCCAGTACTCAGTGTTTCCACACACAAAAATGGCATCTTCATCAGGTTCAAACTGATAGACGTCGCCAGGCCCATCCTCAGTATCTGCAGATGTCCTTCCAGACCCATCTCTGAAAGCTCTTTTTGTCCACGAAGTTCAAAGTTTCTATGCATCGTGACCTCAGGATGAAAGTCTTCCATTTTTAAGAGGGGAAATTAGAATTCCATTGATAAAAATAAAATTTAAGAATCAGTAAAGATAATCCATGCAGTTCATTAGGATTACTGAAAATAAGTGGTCTGTCAGTTTCCTCTTTGTATCCTGTTGTATTTCACAGCAGTCTCAATGGAGCTGGAAGAGATGAATGACCTATGTCATTTCCTTATCAATAAGTGATAATATTTCAGTTAGTAATTTATGCCTTTGGTTCTCACTGAGTGAATCTAGTGTAGTAAATTAAAGAAATATTTGAAGTTTCAGTGGAATACTAAATAAACCATCCTGCACGGCCCACCAGCCTCAACCTGACACAGAAGAGCTTCTGGGCCCAGAAACAAAGCAGCAGCCCTGGGCCTGCTGGGTGGTCACTGGGCCAGCAGTCCGTCCTGCCCTTCGTCTGTGCAGGTTCCCCAAGTGCGCTGCGGCCTGGACCACTGGTGCTGGAACACCAGGCTCACACGGCTGCGTGGCCACCCTGACTGTGGGCTGTGGCGCACCTTCCCCACCTGGCATGTGCTGGGAAGGTGGCAGGGCCCTCTGGCCCCTGGTGTGCATGGGCTCTGGGGGCTCCCCGTCTTCGGGCTCTTCAGAGAAGCTGATGCTGGTGTTCTTGTTCACAGGCTCAGAGAATGAACTTTGCAAACACTCAAGGTAGGAGAGCATGTGCAAGGCTTTTATTTAGAGATAAAGCAGAGGACACAGCTCCTGGCTTGTCCCTGCCCAGAGGGGACAAGACAGCCCCGGGGTGATCCACTGTCTAGGGGATTTATAGGCAGGTGAGAGACAAAGGGCCAGGGATGTAGACCTGCTAAATGGTCCCCAAATGCTTAGCTTCAAAGAGACACTAAGTTTCTTATCAGTCTTCCAGATTATTTTGCTTACTTGCCAGTATTACTTGCCTACATTGCACATCATTTGATTAGGGCTAGAGGAAGAAAAGCAGCATCTGGGTAAAGTTGAAGAAAATAAGCTGGGCCTTTTAGCAGGCTAAGGTACATTTTACAATAACCTCATTTAATTGACACAATGAAGACATGGGCTATGCTGCGGTCTTTTCTTATGTGGGGGATATTCAAACATTTCAGGCCAAGTTACTCCTGGATTTTTAGTTTTAATTAATCTCACACAAGAATGCTTATATTACTTTAGAGAATGAATGTGACTGACTTTGCTTACTTGTTTAATATGGAGTTTCAGTAGGGGTTTTATTCCGGAGGCCCTCACCCTGCTCTGTCTGCGCCCACGGTCCCTGCCTCACCAGCACTGAGGCACTGAGGCTCCGCGGCTTCCCTCCCCAGCTGCCATTCCCTCCTAGTTCCTCCTCCAGGCTTCCCTTCCACACTCCCCAAGCTCTCTGCTCCCATGCTCGCACCCCTCTCCCCCGCCCTCCCAGCCTTCTCCTTCCCCCACCCCTCCCCTGGGCTGGGACTCCTGTTAGGAGGGCGTTGTATATTTTTCTCGGTTCTTGTCCCTGCAGCAGCAAAGAACTGAGGGGCAGAGACACAGTAGTGAAGGAGAGTAAAAGTTTTATTTAAAGAGAAAAAGTGTGCCCTCAGAGAGAGGGGACTGTGGGCTACCTCAGAGAGAGGCACACTGAAAGGGTGAGGGTTCCCCGTTTTAAGGATTTTTCAGGAATATGACAAAGGGCTAGGGGTGTGGACTTGTTAAGTGGTCTCAAGATGAGACATGAAGTTTCTTATCAGTCCTCCGGGTAATTCTGCAAAATTAGCTTAACACAAGAAATGCACTGCTCGGATTCCCTCCAGAATAGCAGCTTCCTGGTTGGGGAGCATATCAATTAAGACTGCCCTCCCTGCCTCCAAGGTGGGCTGAGTTACTGTATGTTCGCTAAAGACTGTGCTAAGTGTGGATAAAATGAAAGTTCCTGTGGCCAGGATTCTCACCTGGGCCTAGTCGGCTAGCTCACCACTCATGTGGGCAATATGTTGCTGTTGACTCTATGTAAAAGAGCTCCACCCAGTGCTCTGGGTGACACCTCAATTACAATTTGAGGACACTTCATATTCGCCTCTTTTGCGGGCACCAAGTCTGCCTCAGCTGAATCTTTCCATTTCATGAGAAACATTAATTCCCCACTGCTGTCTGTGGCACCGATTATTCGTTCAGGATCAAGACCTCTGGCAAAGCCTCTTCGTTGATCTCTTTTCTTCTTTGATTTGCTATCATCGGATTCACTGTCAGAAAAAGATTTTCTTTTTGTACCATCTTTTTCTTTACCAGCTTTTCCAGAATTAAATGCTTCAACTAACTCTGGACAATCTGAATTTTCTTCAGGTTCCTCCAAGTATTGTCAGCATCTGTAAATCTTCCACTTCAGGAAATACTCCACGTCCACATTCACACACGTCGGTCTCGTAGTTTTTCCACCACAGATTCTTCAGGCTCTGCCTCTTCAACTTTTTTACTCTGATCATCCTGTTTTTTACCCATTTTTTGCAATGTAGTTTTATTGGAGGCCATTTTTCATTGCAGACTTGAAGAGCTATTAAAGTCATTGCTTATCACATCTCCATGAATGTCCATCCTGACCAGTCCCATGTAGCCCATTTGTCGTGAACTGCTCTGCGTCTCTGGTGTGCTCAGAAGCGCTGACAGCCCCACCAGCTGTGCCCTCTCAGTGTCGGTGACACCTGCCTCCCGGCTTCCTTTCCATCCTGCCTGGTCCTCCTCTGCTCCTTTGACAGAAATACCTGTGATCACTGTTCCTTTGCAGCGTTCCATCCTTAACACAATAGACATGATACTCTACCTTGCTCAGAACCACCTTTGAGGACATTTTCCTTAACTCAGATCAGCACCTTTGAGCTGTAGAGAAGGGGAAACCGGGACAGTGTAAGTGAGTGTGGTTAATACATCATGCTTGTTAGGGCAAAAAATGTTTAGGTAATTTATGAAGAATAAATGTACACTATGTCATTCAGGAAAGAGTTATGAGTTAACCTTTTGCGTTGGTCACACTGGGCAATTACTGTCCCTCTGAACTAATTTGGAGGCTACAAATACTGGGCTGGGTGGACCACTGATGGTCAGTGGTGGCATTTCACATTTTCTCATTATGTGGATTTCTCCCCTCCCTAACTGATTGGTCATGAACAGGTACAGGATGCCTCAGGGAAGCCCAGTAGATGCTTCAATGCCTTTATATTTTTCTTCTTTTGCTACTTCCTTTTGGGTGGAATTGATGCTATCTTTTGTGTTTTAGGGGGAAAAAAGCATTTATTTATTACACCTTGTGGCAGATATGCAATGAAAGTCCTCTGTCTGGGACCCAGAATATAGAGACTGACTGCTCTTTTATTTGGTAAATGTAAATTTCAAGTTAAGCTGTTCTGCAATATTTTGTTTATTGCTGTTAGAGGGACAGTTTTACTTTGTTGGGACAAAAGCATTTGGTGTTTTAGACAAAGGGAGAATGAGACAGGTTGAGAAAAGAAGAGGGCTCGGGTGTGAATAATAGGATAGAGCAAGGGAGAGAGGAAAGGGAGGCTGACCACGAAGGCGGTCGTGGGCAGCAGAGCCTAGGGATGGCTGTGGGGACCTGTGGCTATGCCCACCCTGACCTCTTGCGGCCCCCAGGTCTCACCTGAGCAGCAGCAGGGCTTGCGGACTTAGCCGCCACCCCCGGGCACCTGGAGTGGTCGGTGCCTGTGGCCCACAGTGGGAACTGGAGTCATGAAAGATGTGTTAGCTTTCCCCTGGAGACGAGGGAGCCCTGGAAAAACCCTCTCTGGAGAAAGTCACAACACGGCAGGTGCTGGAGCACCGCCACGGCTAATTGTGTGATGTGTTCTCTCGAAAATGAAAACACTTAATTTTTCTAAAGTGTTTCTTTAATTTCTATGTTCTAAACTCCTATATAACTAAATTTCTATAATTGTCTCTACCAGGCCACTTTTGACTGGACAGATTTTGCAGAGAATTGCCACAGAATTTAACCAGTTACACTTTCATGCTATTCAAATCAAAGGCATGCCTCTTTTGGACACAGTAAGACCAGAAAGTGTTTTAGATTTCCACAGTTGTTGTTTAGGAATTTGCTAAATAGTTTTGCTTTCACCTAGTAATGCTTCTAGTAATTATTGACCTACAGGATTCTGAAACTACTTCAGAATTTTTTCAGTTTGTTTTTTGGGCCCCTGCTTCCTGAATGCCACACATTGGTGATTTCATGTAAAACACAGGCATGTTCTCTGAATTATAAGAGTAAAACTAATCCTGAATTTCTTGTAAATTGACATATATGATGTAACAAGAGTTAATTTATCCAAAGTCCTTGACTGGGCTTTAGATTCATGATGTTTGTAAGACTTATTCTGTAGCTTAAGAGAAAAATAACTCTTTTTTTTGTCATTCTGTAATTTTGTCTAACCTCTCCTTTGAGGAAGCAAAGATTTACTTATGAAGAGACTGGGGAGGAGAAGATAATCATTGTTACTCTACAGGAAGTGTTAATATTTTCATTTTGCATGTATTCTATTAGAAAATAGATTTGGTATGTAAATATTTGAATTTTTAGAAGTTATTCCAATTTTCTTACCTATTTCTTCTTGCAGCATATAGCTGGTATAACAGTCATGTTACAACGGTCGCTAGAAGGCCTCCTATTAGAAGGGCTTCAGACCTCCAACGTTGATATAATACAGCGCTGCTTACGGATCTATGCCACGATTGACAAGACCTGGGATGCTGAGGCCTTACTTGGTCAAGTGCTAGTGAAACGGTACGTGGATGAGGTGTGTGTGCCTTGGGCCTTCAGCAGCGGCCATGGAGCATCTGCTCTTGCAGTGTGGGGGTAGAGCAGCGCTCTTTCTGGGGAGATTCTTGTAGTTACTGCAGCATTAATTGTAAAAAGGGTTGGTCCCTGTTGGCCACAGTCAGCATACCAGGAATCCTGCATGCCCTGTAGTATATACTAGTGAGGCCATAGCCCAGAGATCATCTTAATTTAGGGGGGGGTGAAGGTCTTGCCTAGGAAGAAGGTATGTACCAAACCACTTCTAGGTCAGGTTTATGGTATGTAAGTTAAATGTCAGTTAGGGTGGCAGATAGCGTCTTTGAACAACTGGCCTCATGGGTAGAAGAGAACAGTTAAGCAGATGACAGCACTGCAGTGAGCATGCCTGGTGGGGGAGCGTGCAGAGAGCTCTGTGAACATGGAAAGTCCGTGGGGAGGGAGCTCTTCCCAGAATAAATTGGGCCCAAGTCTTAGAAAATGTGGAGGAGTTTGCTGGGCAGGAAGGTGGGAGGGAAGGAATAAAAAGGTGAAGGACTTTTACAGGCTGCTAAATGAGCAGATTAATACATTAAGTCCAGAACTCAGCTACCCAGTATCGTTCACCTGTTAGGATACAGCTAAAATATAGGAGTAAGTGTGTGTTGCCTTGGAGCAGCCAGATTATAGGCTGTGCTCTAGGAAGTTGCCAGTACTCAGTGTTTCCACACACAAAAATGGCATCTTCATCAGGTTCAAACTGATAGACGTCGCCAGGCCCATCCTCAGTATCTGCAGATGTCCTTCCAGACCCATCTCTGAAAGCTCTTTTTGTCCACGAAGTTCAAAGTTTCTATGCATCGTGACGTCAGGATGAAAGTCTTCCATTTTTAAGAGGGGAAATTAGAATTCCATTGATAAAAATAAAATTTAAGAATCAGTAAAGATAATCCATGCAGTTCATTAGGATTACTGAAAATAAGTGGTCTGTCAGTTTCCTCTTTGTATCCTGTTGTATTTCACAGCAGTCTCAATGGAGCTGGAAGAGATGAATGACCTATGTCATTTCCTTATCAATAAGTGATAATATTTCAGTTAGTAATTTATGCCTTTGGTTCTCACTGAGTGAATCTAGTGTAGTAAATTAAAGAAATATTTGAAGTTTCAGTGGAATACTAAATAAACCATCCTGCACGGCCCACCAGCCTCAACCTGACACAGAAGAGCTTCTGGGCCCAGAAACAAAGCAGCAGCCCTGGGCCTGCTGGGTGGTCACTGGGCCAGCAGTCCGTCCTGCCCTTCGTCTGTGCAGGTTCCCCAAGTGCGCTGCGGCCTGGACCACTGGTGCTGGAACACCAGGCTCACACGGCTGCGTGGCCACCCTGACTGTGGGCTGTGGCGCACCTTCCCCACCTGGCATGTGCTGGGAAGGTGGCAGGGCCCTCTGGCCCCTGGTGTGCATGGGCTCTGGGGGCTCCCCGTCTTCGGGCTCTTCAGAGAAGCTGATGCTGGTGTTCTTGTTCACAGGCTCAGAGAATGAACTTTGCAAACACTCAAGGTAGGAAAGCATGTGCGAGGCTTTTATTTAGAGAAAAAGCAGAGGACAGAGCTCCTGGCTTGCCCCTGCCGGGAGGGGACAAGATAGCCCCAGGGTGATGCGCTGTCTAGGGGATTTATAGGCAGGTGAGAGACAAAGGGCCAGGGATGTAGACCTGCTAAATGGTCCCCTAATGCTTAGCTTCAAAGAGACACTAAGTTTCTTATCAGTCTTCCAGATTATTTTGCTTACTTGCCAGTATTACTTGCCTACATTGCACATCATTTGATTAGGGCTAGAGGAAGAAAAGCAGCATCTGGGTAAAGTTGAAGAAAATAAGCTGGGCCTTTTAGCAGGCTAAGGTACATTTTACAAGAACCTCATTTAATTGACACAATGAAGACATGGGCTATGCTGCGGTCTTTTCTTATGTGGGGGATATTCAAACATTTCAGGCCAAGTTACTCCTGGCTTTTTAGTTTTAATTAATCTCACACAAGAATGCTTATATTACTTTAGAGAATGAATGTGACTGACTTTGCTTACTTGTTTAATATGGAGTTTCAGTAGGGGTTTTATTCCGGAGGCCCTCACCCTGCTCTGTCTGCGCCCACGGTCCCTGCCTCACCAGCACTGAGGCACTGAGGCTCCGCGGCTTCCCTCCCCAGCTGCCATTCCCTCCTAGTTCCTCCTCCAGGCTTCCCTTCCACACTCCCCAAGCTCTCTGCTCCCATGCTCGCACCCCTCTCCCCCGCCCTCCCAGCCTTCTCCTTCCCCCACCCCTCCCCTGGGCTGGGACTCCTGTTAGGAGGGCGTTGTGTATTTTTCTCGGTTCTTGTCCCTGCAGCAGCAAAGAACTGAGGGGCAGAGACACAGTAGTGAAGGAGAGTAAAAGTTTTATTTAAAGAGAAAAAGTGTGCCCTCAGAGAGAGGGGACTGTGGGCTACCTCAGAGAGAGGCACACTGAAAGGGTGAGGGTTCCCCGTTTTAAGGATTTTTCAGGAATGTGACAGAGGGCTAGGGGTGTGGACTTGTTAAGTGGTCTCAAGATGAGACATGAAGTTTCTTATCAGTCCTCCGGGTAATTCTGCAAAATTAGCTTAACACAAGAAATGCACTGCTCGGATTCCCTCCAGAATAGCAGCTTCCTGGTTGGGGAGCATATCAATTAAGACTGCCCTCCCTGCCTCCAAGGTGGGCTGAGTTACTGTATGTTCGCTGAAGAGTATGCTAAGTGTGGATAAAATGAAAGTTCCTGTGGCCAGGATTCTCACCTGGGCCTAGTCGGCTAGCTCACCACTCATGTGGGCAATATGTTGCTGTTGACTCTATGTAAAAGAGCTCCACCCAGTGCTCTGGGTGACACCTCAATTACAATTTGAGGACACTTCATATTCGCCTCTTTTGCGGGCACCAAGTCTGCCTCAGCTGAATCTTTCCATTTCATGAGAAACATTAATTCCCCACTGCTGTCTGTGGCACGGATTATTCGTTCAGGATCAAGACCTCTGGCAAAGCCTCTTCGTTGATCTCTTTTCTTCTTTGATTTGCTATCATCGGATTCACTGTCAGAAAAAGATTTTCTTTTTGTACCATCTTTTTCTTTACCAGCTTTTCCAGAATTAAATGCTTCAACTAACTCTGGACAATCTGAATTTTCTTCAGGTTCCTCCAAGTATTGTCAGCATCTGTAACTCTTCCACTTCAGGAAATACTCCACGTCCACATTCACACACGTCGGTCTCGTAGTTTTTCCACCACAGATTCTTCAGGCTCTGCCTCTTCAACTTTTTTACTCTGATCATCCTGTTTTTTACCCATTTTTTGCAATGTAGTTTTATTGGAGGCCATTTTTCATTGCAGACTTGAAGAGCTATTATTCACTGCTTCCCAGCTGCTCCAGATCCCTGCGCTGCAGCGCCCCCCTGCCCCCTCCTGCCCGGTGCGCCTCAACCTCGAGCCCCATCCGAGGGGTTGGGGGCTGGGGAGCTGCGCGCGCTGGCAGCCGCAAGGGGCGCGCCAGGTTTTTCTGTTTTTCTGGGCGTATGTTCCTAAAATGTATTTCCTTTTGACCAGGTTTCTCAAAAACGCATTCTTGCAGATTGTTCGCAAAGAAAGTTTAGAAAAATTCCTTTAGACTTTCCTGAAGAAAGATGTGCTCACTTTAGTCTGGGCAAAGCCAACAAATGCTCTTGGACCCTTCACCCGAGTCCAAACTCAAGCGTTCGGCAGGTAGTTTCCAACGGCGACTGTGTGTACAGCGCTTTGCTGAAGGGTGGCTAGATCTGGCGGAATCGCACCTGGACGGCGGCCTTAGCTCCCGGAGGGGGTCATGGCATTGCAGCTGGCGCACACAACCGGAGCCGAGGGTCCGCAGAGAACAGCGCAAGAGAAAGATGTGACAGCAGAGCAGAAACCGGAAGGCAAGGATCAGAATCAGCCCAGGAAGGGGAAAGCAGGATGAGCGAGCCGTGCAGGAGTAAGTCAGCGGACTAAGACTATGAGCCAGAGCTTCTCTTTCATAGTATCGTGAATAATTGCATTGCAGGTCTGGTAGTTCAAACAAATACAGTGAGTATTTATAATACCCGACATATAGTAGTTGCTTAGTAAACGGCTGAATTGGAATGAAGTATGTTAGGTTGATCAAACAGCATATGGAACAGAAATATAACCGTGAGTTTGGATCGAAGAGAAAGGGAGTAACTAATACAAATTTTAAGTTAATATAATCAGTTATTTAATAGATATTATAATATTAATTTGCTGCTTGTTCATTAACTGTGTTCATATCAGGTGAGCAGTAATATTTACCAAAGTCTTAAGAAAAATGATGGGGGAAAATCTTAAACTGATGAAATTCTGTCCCTCAAGTTCATTTTTATTCTATGAATTGGAAAAGACAGCCTTTTTCCCAATTTGAGTGGTGACATGAATGCTCTGAGAAACATGGTCTAAGAACCACTGCCTTTATTTTAAAATATGAAATTTAATCACTGGTTTTAATATTTTCAACTTGGATGACCTGGTTAATATATGAGAATATAAAACTCACATGGGTCTGCTTTCTTTGTTAAAAAAAATCAAACCTATTGAAGAAATGTGACATGCGATTGTAGATATTCTAACAAGGAAGAGTCAAGAAAAATTAAATTTGGTAAGTTAGTTTCTTTGGTTTCCCTTATGTGAACTGTGATTTTGTGAAATTTCTTTGCTGAATTATTTCTCTTGTATCTTTTTCAATGTTGTGATTATGCAGGTTGTTTCTTTCCTCCAACTTCTGTGAACTTACTAGTGTAATGAACTTTAAATTAGTAGGTCTAGTTCAAAATCCACATTTCTCATTAAGTGTCTGAAAGTTTGCTTACCTTGTTAGGCCTTTATTTCCTGCCTTAAACGTGAGGCAGTTTGACTACATGATCTCTAAAAACTTTGACCTGTTAAGTTAACTGTTCTGTGCTCTAAAGAAGCTCATTCAGGAACTAGGCATAGTGTGGATCTGAGAAAAGAGACTGACTAGGTGTCAGGTATATAAAACATAAACATTTTCTAGATTTAGATAGGTTGTGGCAATTACTGTGCCCTTTCATAAGAAATTTAAACCCTTCCTTACCTGTAAAATGAGACATTCCTACAGGTTGTCAGGCCCATTGAGTGGAGTGTGTAGGCATCGTGTTCTGTGGCACACATCCAGGCCAAGGGCTGAACTCCAAGTAAAAGATCACACCAAAATACCTAGGGACCATATGTAACTTTTGGTTACCCATTACCCAAAAAAGCTGTTTAGTGGAATCAATATGCGAATGGCTTATCTACATGCAAGGGGGTCATGCTTCTGTACAGTATGTTTATTAGTTCAACACCAATTATTTCATTCTATGGCTGCTGTGAATGTGCCCCAGGGGAACGTACAGAAGGTGCTTATGATTTGATACTATTAGTTTCACTTAATGAAGGAGCTTGAGAAGGAAGGTCAGATGGGTGGGGGCGCCGAGAAAGACTAGTATACTCTGGCAAAAAGAGGGGAGGTGTAGAACTACCCCAGCCTGGCAGAATGAGTGATGGGAGTTCAAAGGCACAAACTTCCAGTTGTAAATAAGTAAGTCCTGGAGATGTGAAGCACAGCATGGTCACTACAGTTAACAATACCCTGTCGCATGTTTGAGAGTTGCTAGCAGTAAATCTGAAAAGTCCTCTCAAGAAAAAAAAATGTCATAGCTATGTATGTGGGCAGGTGTTAGCTAGACTGATTGGGGTGATCCTTTTGCAATGTATACAACGCCAAACCATGATGTTGTACACCTGAAACTAATATACTAGTATATGTTGATTATATCTCAATTTAAAAAAAATTTTTAATGGCCCAATCCTGTGTCTTACATGCTAAAAGACAGTAAAGTGAAAAATCACCAATTTCATAAAAAGCCTTCTTCCTCATTATTCCCACTGGCTCGAGAGACAAGTGGAAAAGAAAACCAGTATTTAAATCTGATTCAGTTAGTCCCATTTTTCCTTAATAGAAAAATACGAATTGGGGGAATCTTTTCTAGCACACAGAGATTTGTCTTTAGATGGAAAAAGAAATGCTGTTCATAAATTCTTGACTTTCTGCAATGTATAATTTCTAGATACAAAATGAATTTTACAAACTAATGTTATTTGTAAACAGCAAGAAAATGTCACTGGGAAATAAAAGACACATAATGAGAGAGGCAAGCACCACCTGGATGTCCGTCCTATACCTCAGCCCCACATACCCAAACTTGACTGCGTACATCGTTATCACGTAAACGTTATCCTCCCTTGGGTTCCCTGTGTCAGTGCCTGACACTGTCCACTTCTCCAAGCCAAAAATCCTGGGGTTGCGTTTCAGTGCATCTTTGCCACGCCCCCACCCCTGCTCGCAGCCAATCAAATTCAGTCTAACTTCCTGAGCATCTCTCAATATCCATCTGCTTCTCTCCCCACGTAATTCTCAGTTCTCTAGTCGAGATCCCCTACAGCTCTCGTCGGCACTGCAGCAGCCTCCTCACCCAGCTCCCTGCCTCTCCGCTCTCGCTCCAGTCCGTTCTCAACGCTGCCGCCAAAATGCCCGTCACTCGTCTGTGAAGTTCCTGCCTTCAGCCCCTGCCTGTTGCTTTCTCCCTCTCTGCCATATCCCTGAATGTTTCTTTGCTTTGCTTTACTTCCTGGAGGGGAATGTACTGTCTCTCTTGCCTCTGAGTCTCTCCAGGCCAGTCTTTGTGCTGGTAAGCTACCTCCTTACCCTTCAGACCTCAGCACATACGTGCTTCCTCGGGTGTAGCCTTCCCCGATCTGCACCCTTCCTCTCGCTCCCAGCCAGATTACATGCCCGTTTGTGCCCCCTGGTTTTCTCTGCGTGGTACTTGACGCACTTGATTGACTGTTTTTGTTTGTCTTGTGTTTTCAACTGTAAACTTGAGGGACAAAGACAGTGTCTCAGGTTCCTCAGCATTGTACCCCCAGTGTCAGCACAACACTGGGCATAGATTAGGCTCTTCCGTACTTGGTGAATTCGTGGATCCATATTCCTTACCTCCCCACTTCAAATCCTCCCCTCACTAAAACATATTCACCATATAACTGGAACATATCTTAGTAAGAGTCTCTAATAATCAAATGTGAGGTCTTTTCAGCTTGAACTCTGTCTTCCATAACTGCTTCCCCATAGCACCATCTCTTCCTCCCAAAAAAGAAAAGAAAAATCCTCTGTCATTCAAGATGTGTAAGGAAGAAGTTTTAGAAGGGATGCCTCTAATAGACGCACAACTCAGTCTGACTTACACAAGTATTCATTTGTTTAAGCCCTAACCCACAGTGACTCTTAAATTGGGCTCTTCTTGCTACCTACCTCTACCATCTTTAGACTATTACAACAGCTTTGTGTTGTAACCATCAGAAGTCATTTATTTTCATTCCCTGCCTTCCTAAACTATTTATATAGTGACCAAATCTAACTGTATGTCTCTCTGCAGTGCATTTTTTAAACCGAACTTTTTGCATATTAAGTGTATTACAGTCCAGCCTTTTCCTACCTATCTGAACTCATCACCTCCTGGCCACGTTCCCACTTTGCTCCTTACCCTGTATTCCAGGCACACACTGTCCCTTTAATGTTGTCTAAGTGGATCACTTTCTTTTAAGCTTCATACCAAGATTGTCTTCCTTAGTCTCAAGTACTCATTTTTCAGACCCAGCCTAAATGGTTGTTCCCTTTTTTGGGGTTCCCATAACCCTTTGTTCCTACTTCAAGTATAGCATTTTTCTTATTTTTATGAGTATTTTCAAGTGTATGTCTTCCACAGAATGTGAACTTAAAGGACAAGAATTATTTCATTCTTATATTTGTACCTGTAGTCCCTGACACATGGGAGTTAATAAACATTTGTTAAACTTGCTGGCAGCATTTGCTTAAGAAAAGTAATGGTTAGGAGATGGCAGCTTGGTTCTTATATTTTGAAAGTCTGGTCGACTATAAAAACCTTTAATGTCTTCTGATTTCGTTTTTCAAATTTGACCAATAAATGTTTTTCTATAGGAGAAAATACAGAGGGCTGTGCATCCGAGGAACAAATCCCAGAAGCTAACCCTGAAGATACAGGTATCAGTGTAGAGTCAGAAAAACTGGACGTGGAAAATAAACATTACAGAAATGTGGTATTTCAAGACTGTGAAAAAGACCAAGATAACACAACAAAAGATCCAAGCAATGATGTTAAAACCCCCAATACAGAAACCAGGACAGGTTGCTTAATTAAGTATAACGTATCTACTACGCCATGCTTGCAAAGGTAAATTTTCAAAATGCAACGTGCTGTGATTTGTTTTTCTGTTTAGGGATAATAAATATGGTATTTAGAATCTTTGAGATAGCTTCTGATTATTTATGAGATAGCTTCTGATTATTATGAGATAGCTTCATTTATTTAGAAAGGTTTCACACAAATGTAATGTGGACATTTTGCATTTGAAATATTTGCTTTTCCCTAAATATTGCCATTTTGAAAAAGAAAGCTTTTATATCATTTTACTCTAACCTCAGTACATTATTGATAACAGCAGGTTTTAAAACTGAGCAACAAGACAATTTTATAGATAGTTATCTACTGTGTGCAAGTTATAACAACAAACAAAAGGATTAGCTTGAGGCACCTCTTTCTGTAGATGAGCAATCACATGGTTGTAACACCCAAGTTAATAGTATGACAAATATCATAAAAGTACAAAGTAAAATTGTTAATGTGTTTTTAACTCTAGAATAATTTTGTGGGGTTTTATTTAGTATAAAAAAGAAAATACAGTCTGATGAAACAAATTCTACATTTAGAGAGCTGAAGTGTCTAACACCAGTTAGACATTCTTGGCGTATTCAAGACAAGATGTCTAAATTGCCAGATATCTTGAAAGACTCTTATTCTGTGTGTCTTCACTGGAGCAGTTAACAGAGCTGGGAAGTGAAACCGACGCGTGGGGGTGCTGCCCTAACGCAGCACGGTGCAGGATGTACTGGGAGACTGAGGCAGCAGAGGACAAATAAGCTCTGATAAGGGGCAGGGCTTTCGTAATCCGGGGTATTTGGGGTTTGTGGCTTTGCGTGCCTCTCAGGGCAGGAGGGAGCCGAGGGCCTAGGATCACAGCTGTCAGCGCTTGTCCCAGTGACACTACAGCAGGTGTCGCCTTCTGTACATTGGAAAGCTGATCCTCCCTTGCGAGCTCAACAGATGGAATTTTTCTCTAAAAAGATTTATTTTGTCAACTAATGTACTCTGTTCCTTGAATATAAACAAGTTTCATTGTAATGTTAGTTTGTTCACTCTTACAGTCATAAAAACTCACAAGTCATTATAAGTGTAGTAGTGCTGCATCATCAGAAAATGAGGTGTTCTAGATAAAATTTGTATTTTTGCATGGACATGTCTTTAAAATTTACACATCCTTGCCTTTAAAAAGAATTCTGACTTTTGCCTTTCCTTGATTCTGGATCAGGGTGAGAGTGAGCCCCTACAATGTGGAGGGACTCTGCAGGCATCAAGACCGGCTTGCTTGCACGCCCAGCCCCTGATCCCCCGGCTGCTGCGGTCCATCGTGCCCCTTGGACTGCGGGTGAGTCTTCCATCTCCCTTTCCTCCCATCACTGCCAGGGAGTCTGCGTCCTGAGTCTCAGCCTCTTTCCGATTGGAGCTGAGTCACCCACTAGGATAAGGAATTAAACAACCCATTTGTAAGAGAAGATACATAATGGAAGGAAGAATAGGTGCCAAGCTCAGTAGGTATTTGAAACTTCAAATTTGAATTCCTTTCTTTTAGCTCCTTTTGTAACTTGACAAACAAAATGTTAAAATTTTAACTTCCATCACTTTATTTGATGAAGTTTATAGACTGTTAGAATGGAATTAGAAAAGAATACTCTAGTTTAGGTAGCATTTGTAGAATAACTAATAGTTAAACTTGCTTTCTTTCTTGCAATATAAAAACCTTACTATTAAATCATGCCCCCTGCAACATGAGAGTGTACACAGTAAAAGTTCTCTTCTCCCCACACATAAATACCACCAATAAAATTGTTTCATAGTCTCTGAACTAATACTGAAATGGTGTACATCCTCTACCAACTCTACAGTAGTTTCAGAGAAGAAGTAATTTGTCATTGTGAAAGATTAATTTTAAAACTGTGTAATGTAAGTGTGTTTGAACAGTCACATAGTCTTATTTACGTTCATTCAACTCATTTGTATCAAAGCACCTGTGTTCTGTTTATTGTCTTGTGTCCTAGAGAGTAGGATTTTATTCTTTTTTAAACTGTGCACCTAATATGTACACAATAAATTAAAATGATGCATAGCAAGATTTCCATGACACTTATTTCAGCAAATATCAAATACAGTTTAACCACGAGTAAATGTGAATCTTGCCTTTGAAACACATTATAGTGGGATTTAACTTGTGGTTTTCTACACTTAAAATAAGTGTCTGCTTAATATGCACCCCTGTGCTTATCGCAGCACTATTTACAATAGTCAAGATATGGAAGCAACGTAAGTGTCCATCAGTAGATGAGTGGATAAAGATGTGGTACATACACGATGGAATACTATTCAGCCATAAGAAAGAAACAAATCCTACCATTTGCAACAACATAGATGGAGCTGGAGGATATTATGCTCAGTGAAATAAGCCAGGCAGAGAAAGACAAGTGCCAAATGATTTCCCTCATTTGTGGAGTATAACAATGAAGCAAAACTGAAAGAACAAAACAGCAGCAGACTCACAGCCTTCAAGAAGGGACTAGCGGTCACTAAAGTGGAGGGGTGTGGAGGGCGGATGGGGAAAGAGGGAGAAGGGGATTGTGGGGTATTATGTTTAGTACACATGGTGTGAGGGGTCACGGGGAAGACAGTGTAGCACAGAGAAGGCAAATAGTGTATCTTGTGGCATCTTACTACACTGATGGACAGTGACTGCAATGGGGTACAGGGAAACCCTTGATAATATGGGTGAATGTAGTAACATTGTTTTTCATGTGAAACATTCATAGAAGTGTATATCAATAATACCTTAATAAAAAAATAAGTGTTTAATGATATATTTCCTTTTGAAAAATGATCAATCTACTTACCTAAAAGTCTAACTTAATTCTTAACTTGTTTTTTTCATATTTGTATGACTGGGATAAAAGATACCATTTTGAATTAAACTTCAAGCTTTATAATCATCCATCCAATATGGTTCATTTGGCCATATAATAGTGCTTAAAACAGCAAAAGAATTTGAGAACTGTTCTGTTTGGACAAGTTTCGTTTCGTAGTGTTAATTTTCTTCTTCCCTTAACTGAGGAAATATCTATCACTCTGAATAGCCCTAGTTTTAACATTTACAGACATAGGTGTAACTCCTTTTCAGATGCTTAAGATCAGTTACGTGTAGACCTGGGTTTGTTAAACAGCATCTCCAAGGATGTGCATCATCGATGGTGCATGAGCTTTGCAGTCCAATAGACCTACATTCCAAATCTCAGCTCCTACCTTCCCTTAAAAGTTATGTGACCCTGGAGAAGTTACAAGGTGAACCTCATCTTTCTGAAGAGTAAGGTAAGAGATACCCCTTGCTGGTCATTTTTTACCATGGTTATTTGCCTGTCCCCCGGTTGATGGGCCAGAATGGGCCTGACCCAAGCTGAACTGTCAGAGTGCTTTCCATAGGGATGTGGCATCCAGACTGAGAATTCTGTGTCGTTAGACCTGAAATATGTAAATGTGAGGTACTGGGTGACCATATGGAAACTGGGGAGCAAAGGTCACAGTCAACAGAGAGGACAGTGAAGTAATTACCCAGGGAAAAACAGACTGCTGGCTGGGGTTTTCTGTAGCCTATTAGTTTTGTATCCAAATAATTCTCATTAAATCCAAATATGGTTAAAGCAAAATTCCTCTACTGGGAATTTTAATGGGAATAATCCCATTACCCTTCTTAAATGTCATTGATTAGTATGGGAACCTTCGAAATTCCTTTCTGTATATTTAACAAAAATACACACACACAAACACACGTATTTGGACTTTGTAGATTTTTTTTGCTTCATTAGATAAAGTGGTGCCATACTTCGGTATGGTTCTGTGATTTGTGTTTGTAATTTACTAAGTAAAAAGGAGCTTTTCATTGACACACATCAATGTAACATTAAGACTACATGGGAGCTTAGTAAATGATAAACTTTACATTTCGAAATAGTAAAGGATCTCTGTGAGTCAGCCACCCATTCGGAGAACAAATTTCCATCTACACCACTTGCAAAAACAAATTCCAGGTAGAATAAATAGTTAAACTGAAGTATATTAGAAGGAAATGTAAATAGATTTTTCCCTAGGAGAGGGAGGGCTTTCTTAAGGTTTTTATAAGGTAACTTTTGTAAAGGAATGTTTAACACTGCAGGGGGCGGTAGGGCACTCAGGCACGGAGCAGCAGGGCTGTGCCACCCCAGTGGGTACAAGCAGGAGACATCCAGGAGCCAGACCAGCTGCCACACCAGAGACCTTCACAATTCTGTGAGAAAATGGATTGTAAAGCTAGATTTCTACACCCAAAATACCATTCAAGTTTGAGGGCAAAATAATGTTTTCAAGCTTGCAAAGATTCAGATTAACGCTCATAAATTTATCTAAAAGTATTCCTAAAGGTTTTATTCCAGTGAAATAGAAAGTGAATTTCAGACTAAAAGAATTGTCAGGCCAGCCAAATCAAAATAAAAAACAGGGAAATCTGTGTAATTGTATGTTACAGTATGAATTTTGCAGAATGAAAACACTGCAACGATTTCAGCAGGAGAGGCACCAAGGCTTCTGTGGAGAGTTACAGCTAATTCTCTTGCTGGTGAGCTTGTGTGTGGGAGCAGGAAACAGAAATTTGGGCTCACTCTTATTGTCTAGTAAGTACTAGGGGTTTATGTGTAAAAAATACAAAATGCCAAGGCAAGACCCAGCAACGCCATTCCTAAGTATCCAGGAGAAGAGAAAATAAGCCCCACAGATTGTACACAAAGACACTCATGGTCTTAGTCGTGTTAGTCAAAAACGGAAAACCCGAAGCTCCATCAGCTGGTGAATGGGAAAACATTGTGTGCGATATTCATACTCAAGCAACCTATGAATAAGGAGATTTGAGCAAAAGGACACGGAAATTAAGAAAAAGGAACCAACTACTGATAAACAATACAGAATTTTAAAAAACAGACAGAACAAATGACATATTGTATGATCCCATTTATGTGAAATTCTAGAAAAGATAAAACTATAGTGACAAAGCACACTGGTGGTCAACTGGGGCCAGGGGCTGGTGGTCTGTCTGACTAAAAGGGAAGTAAAATTTTTTGGAGCAGACCAGACCGAGTGGGGTGGGGGTGGGGGTGGGGTGGGGTGGCGGCGGGGCGCAGGCAAGACCGGCGGGGCGGCACGGGGAATTTGGGGAGTGGGGAGTGGGGCTGGGTGCGGGCGCAGGCGCAGACCAGTTCGGAGCGGCGGCCCGGGTGGGGCTGTAGGCGGGGCAGGCAGGCAAGACACGGGATTGGAAGGTGGGGCTGGCAGCGGGGTGCAGCGCAGACCAGACCCGGAGAGGTGAGGTCTGGGGCTCGCCGCGGGGCGTAGGCGCAACCCTCTGGGGCCTGCGAGGCGAGCTGGTTGACCCGGAGGAAGCGTCTTGTCGCGGGTGAGCTGGGTGACGGGTCAGCCTCACGGTGCGGTCACCGCGCGTGCGCGCGCCTCAAACTGAGTTTAGCATCTCATCGTCGATCCCACTTGTGGGCATTTGCGTATCACTATTAGTTTTTATTTGGGGGGTGGAGAAAGTCTTTTACTCCTTACAGCTGCTAGCCATGCTTGGCACCATCCGTCTCCTCCAGCCGCAGCTCCGCTTGTCTCCTCTTGCTGCAGCTGTCGTCTCTTCCAGCCAAGGCTCTGTCTCCTAAAACTGGCTCTGTTTGTCCTTGTTCTTTCTCCCTGGTCCCCACTAGCAAAGCCTGCTCGGTGCTCCATTTCCCTGCGGCCACCGTGGGTCCTTGGTGAGTGGCAGACACCAGACCAATTACCAGGAACAGAGGGGAGGAGAAAATGGCTGTTTTCTCTCCACCCCTTGCCCCAGAGGCTGCAGAAAGCAGTAGCGGTAAACACCTATTGATACGTAAATGGTAAGGCAAGCAAGGCAGGAGATACTGGAAATTCTGCCATTTACCCGACAGTGGGCTTAACAAGTAAGAATGCTAACTCTGCCACTTGGTAGCCATAAGACCTTCGGTAAGTCATTTAATATCACTAAACCACAATTTTAAGATCTGTAAAATGGAAAGACTAATGGTTCCTATTTCATAAGACTGTTGGGAAGCTTACATGAGATAATGAGGAAAGGCACTTAGCCCAGTTCCTGGAAGAACATAGTCAACACACATTAAAAGTTAGCTATTAGAATTACAGTTAAGTTTCTAACATCTCTGTGGGCTCTCTTGCATTCCCTTTTTCTCCTGTTTCTGAGGTGGGGCGCTGTTCAGAGGAAGCAAAAAATTATGCACAAGAACAATCTCTTTATCCCTAGAAAGACCTCTTTTCTACTCAACTGTATAGGCAAGTAGACACCCTTTGACTGTATCTCCTCATTTTGGACTATGCACTGGGTTTCTATCCACAAAGGGTCCATAATGGTGTTTTATGAAAGAAAAGCACAGCATCCCTTTCCGCCCTCCCCCAACACACTCTCTAGGTAAATTCTGCTGTCCCTTTTTCTGTGTGGGTTCTATAATATTTTTTTTTGGTGTCATTAATCTACAATTACATGAGCCACATTATGGTTACTAGACTCCCCCCATCATCAAGTCCCCACCACATACCCCATTACAGTCACTGTCCATCTGCATAGTAAGATGCTATAGAATCACTACTTGTCTTTGCCGGGTTGTACAGCCTTCCCCGTGCCCCCCACCCCCTACATTATGTGTGCTAAT